TGCCGTGCTCGCGCCCTTGGAGGCTGAGTCTCTAGGGTTCCGCTGTGATGGTAGCCGGGGTTGTCTTCGATCTTGTTCTGTCCTGCTGCGCGCGCCTGGCTGACGCGCGTGGCGCGCCGGCGATTATCTGGTCAGCTGCTTCAGCATGCGTTGCGGCCGAGACCGCTCCTCGAAACGTTCAGCTCGGCGCGCGTCGGCCCTGACAGATGCCGAACTGCATGGCGACGCCCCTGTCCGGTGCTCGCCCGCGGAGGGCAGCCGGGATGTCCATGTCTTCGGATGCTTCGAGCTCGCCGTCATCATGTGTTTATGGGAACACGCCGCCACCGCCGAACGCCCACTCGCAAGATTGGCAGGCGGTTTTCGCTGACGACTGCGGCGAAGTTCTTGGCGATAGTTGTTGCCCGCATCTCGCGCCGTCGCTGTGCCTCCGCGGTGGTTTCCAGCGGGCTGATGATCTGGCCCACGTCTGCAGCGAGGGCGCGGGCGTGGTGGTTTCTGTTGAGTCCTCGCCTGCGTCCTCCTATTGCGACGGTGCGATGGCTTCCGTCGAATTCTCGCCTGGTTCCTCCTGCCGCGACGCTGCAGGTTCCGCGTCGGCGCCTGGGGGCGCCCCGTGCTCGGGAACACCCAGGGCTCAATGTCGCCGAGTGGACAGGGCAAATCCCGGGGGGGCCCCGACGCGGGGGAATGCCCCACCCCAGGTCGCGAGTCGCTCTGGGGTGGGCGCAGCGCCGCGGATGGTGCCCGCCCGAGTGCATGGCCAACGTGCTCGGTTGATCCGCGGGGCCCCGGCCGTTGGCGCGAGCCCGTCTTCGGTGGTGGGCGAAGCCCCGCGGCGGCGCGCTGGTGGGGTCGGCGGCGGCGCCCGGCCACCTGCGTCTGAGGTCTCGCCGGGGCAGAGAAGGAGTCCGCCCCGTCGTCATCGCGCAGCGGACGCGCGACGGGCCCGCGTCGAAGGCACTGGCTCGGGCTGCGTCTTGGTTGCCAAATCAAGTGTGTGCCGGACTTCTCGACGGCTGCCAGAGCTGGGTGTCCTGGTGCATCGACTGCGTTGCGGGCCCAATGCGCCGCCGAGTGTTTCGGCCCATGTTCTTCTCTAGTGTCGCCAACGCCTGGCAGGGGCGCCGACGCGTGGCCGCGGAACTATGCCGCAACGCGCGGTCCGCCTCGCTCCCTCAGCGTGAAGCCCCCCGCGTGTTCTTTCTTCCCTCTGGACGGGCTGGGGCGACGATGGGGTGATGATCTGCGGCTTCGTGCTCGCGAACAGCGGCGGCCGCGCGATTGGCGCCCTGGGCCTTCGAGAATGTCCCCGACCGAACGTCGCGCATTCCCGAGCGAAGTCGCAGCTCATTCCTTGCGCGAGCCCCGCTCTTTCTCCCAGGGCAACTAATGCATTCTATTGGCGTCGACGATTCTTATGATCTCGCGGGCGTCGACCCGCCCGACGCTGACAACGATGGTGGCTTGAGCAGTGGCGCGCATCCAGGCGCGCGTGACATCGCCTCCGCCCAGCTCGCTGAATGCCCGTCTCTCACTGGCGATGATCTTGCCGCGATGGGCGAAGCTACGGACCTGGTCGATGCGCTGGGCCCCCAACGCGAGGCCATGGCGAGGTCTTTAGATGCTGTGATGGACGCGGGCTCTTCGCCGGCTGTTTCTGCTGATGCGGCAGTTGGTGCTCGGGTTGATCCGAGAAGGTCGCTCTCTCCTCGGCGCTCGTGTTCTGAATCGCTGCCGGCAACTAGCTCCGCCGACAACATGCAGCAGTCCGCTGGCCTTTCACTACTTATGCTTTCTCCTGCAGCGGCCATCTCGATGGAGGCGTTCAAGGGAGAGGTGTCCGACGCCCAAGGCGTGCACATGGAGCTAAAGAGTGCGCTACTGCCGAGGGGCATGACACCGTGACGCCCTCTGCTCCGCCCCGCGAGGATGTCCAACGTGCCATTCCGGTACCTCCTGCAGAAGTGCATGGCCTTGAGGGCCACGACGCTCTTGTTGTCGCTGGTGTCGGCTCATGGTGCTGTCTCCGCTTCGGGCGCCATGGATTGGGTTCGGCGCGCGCCGCATCCCCTATGCGTTGATCCTGGACCTCAGTCCTCCCAGCATGATCGAGTGCACATCCCGGGCGATTTCGCGGATCCACCCGCCATCGATGTTCAAGTCGGTGGGCTAGCTCCTAGCGCGGTTGATCCGCCATTTCCAGACTACGATCCCCCTCTTGATGTTCATGCTCGTCACGTCGCTCACGAACAAGTGGCCTCAACGTCGGCTGCGGATGGTGATGATGGACAGGGCCCGCTCCTGGTTCTGCTTTGCGACGTGTCCGCCCGCCCGACCGCGCACCTACTCAATCATCCTTGCCAAGTTCCAGGTCCGACACAAGTTGCGGAGGGTCCTCCGTGTCACGCTGGGCATCCGATCGAGCGCGCCGAAGTCGTTCCCGTCGGCGCTATGGGCACTGCGCCCCAGCCGCTCGCCGTCAACGGCATCCATGCGGCTTCCAGATGTCCTCTGGCGCTTTGGGCGTCGACGCCGCGAGCCCGAGTGGCCCGGCCAGCGCTGCGGGCGGGGCGCGGGCGTCAGGGGACGCGCGCTTCTCCTCCTCCTCCTCCTCTTCCTCCTCCTCCTCCTCCTCCTCCTCCTCCTCCTAGTCTTCCTCCTCCTCCTCCTCCTCCTCCTCCTCCTCCTCCTCCTAGTCCTCTTCCTACTCCTCCTACTCTTCTTCATCTCCCTCATTTCATCCTCCTCCTCCCCCTCTCCCTTCCCCTCTTTCCTCCCTCCCCTCCTTCGCCTCTTCCCCTCCCCCCCCCCTTCATGGCGGCGAATTCCTCGACCTCGTCCTCGTCCTCGACCTCCTCGTGCACCTATTCCCCTCCTCCCCCTGCTTCCTCTTCCCGTTCCCGCCCCGTCCCCTCATCGTCCGCCTCCTGCTTCTCCTAGTGTTGCTGCTGCTCCTCCTTTTGCTCCGCCCTTCTGTTCCTCCTCCTCCTCCTCTTCCTCCTCCTCCTCCTCCCTTTCGTCCCCCTCCATTCTGTTCCTGAAATCCTTCCTTCCTGTCGCGCCCCTAGGCTGGCCGAGAAGGCGGGCCAGGCGTTTCGCCTGACACTTCCTCCGCACTTATGAGCCTCAGGTTTCAAAATTGGCAGCAGCTTCTCAGACGGAGGCCTTGTGGTTTCCAAACTGTGCCTCTCGCCTTAGCGCCGCGCACGCTCGTCATGAACTTTTGCAAACGTGTCACGGATTGCGGGCGGGCCGTTCTAAAAATGTGGCTGCCGCCTGAGCGCCGCGCGCGTTCGTTTTAACAAGCCACGGGAGTTTCACGGATGGGCGGCGGATGATTTTCAAAAGGTGGTTCCCGCTCTAGCGCCGCGCACGTTCGTTTTAACATTTTGCAAGAGTTTCGCGGATTGAGGGCGGTTGGTTTTCAAATTGTTGATTTCTTCTTGGCGCCGCGTACATTCGTTTTAAAGATTTGGGCGGATTTAATGGATTGATGGCGGTTCGTTTTCGACCTGTGGCTCTCGCTTCAGCGCTGCGCGCACTTGCCTAACAACAGTTGCAAGCGTGTTGCGGAGTCCCGTGGTCAACGTGCCAGATATGGTGTTTTGGAAGGACTCAGGACTGCGAGGGTGCAACAGTTACGTTGGTTCGCGGTGTTGAAGTCCCAGGAAAGGTGTGTTGGCATGATAAACGCAACAGTCAGGTTGATCCGTGGCGTTGGAGTCCTGAGAATGGTGTTTTGGCATGCTTTAGGGTCTTCAAACGGTTGTCTCCCAACGAGGCAGTTCCCCCAGTGGAACTGGGACGTTGTAGGGGCCTATGAAGAGGGAACTTGGAGGGAGGGTTTACTCCAACATCGTTGATGAGTCTTGTGTTTGCACTGGTCATCCTTCTCTTCTTCCTCCGCTCTCTTCCTCTCTCCTCCTATCTCCTTCTATTTCCACCTCCTCGTCCTCCAGTTCGTCCTCCTCTTCGGCCTCCTCCCCGAGGCCGAAGAGGAGGAGGCCTGGATTTCCTCCTCCTCTTCGGCCTCCCCACCGAAGAGGCCGAGGCCTGAGACTTCCTCACCACTAATGAGCCTGAAACTGAAGAGCTGGTCGCAGTTACACAGATGCAGGGCGGGTGGTTTTCAAATTGTGCCTTTCGCTTTAACGCCGCGCACAATCGCTTTCAAATTTTGAAAGACTTTCACGGCTTGAGGGCGGTTCGTTTTCAAAATGTGACTCTCGCTTTAACGCCGCGCACATTTGTTTCAAACGTTTGCCAGGGTTTCACGGATTGAGGGCGGCTCGTTTTCAAAATGTGGCTTTCGCCTTAGCGCCACGCACAATCGGTTTAAGCATTTGCAGACAGTTCACGGATTGAGTTGGTTTTCAAAATGTGCCTCTCGCCTTAGCGTCGTGTGCAGTCGTCTTAAACAATTGCAAGAATTTCGCGGATTCCCATGTGCCAGAAATTGTGTTTTGGACGGAGTCAGGAGTGTAAAGGTACAACAGTTCCGTTGGTTCGCGGTGTTGAAGTCCCAGGAATGGTGTTCTGGCGCGATTCAGGATCGTCAGGACGCAACGGTCAGGTTGATCCGTGGCGTTGGAGTCCTGAGAAAAGTGTTTTGGCATGCTTTAGGGTCTTCAAACGGTTGTCTCCCAACGAGGCAGTCCCCCTACTGGAAATGAACCCTTGCAGGCGCATGTGACGAGGGAGCTCGGAGGGAGGGTTTATTCCAACATCGTTGATGAGTCTGGGGTTTACGCTGGTCCTCCTCCTCCTCCTGCTTCTCCTCCTGCTTTTCCTCCTCCTCGTCCTCCTCCTCCTCCTCCTCCTCCCGTCATCTTTCTCCCCCTCCCCCGCCCCTGCTCCCTCTTCCTCCGTGCCGCTCCCCCCTCCCTCCCTCCCCCCCCTCCGCCCCCCTCGCGTCCTCCCCCTTCGCCGCCCCCCTGCCCCCACCTCCCCCCCCCTCTCCACCCTCGCCCTCGCTCCTCCCGCTCTCTCCCCTGCCCCCCCCCTCCCCTCCGCGGCGGCAAAGCCCGACCTCCCATGGGCGCCGGCGCCCCGGTGCTCGGAGCCCCCCGCTCGGCCGGGCGCCGCGGGGCCGCCGGACCCTGCCGCGATGGAGGGGCCGCGCTTCCAGAGGCCGAAGGTGTACGACCCTTCGCGGGCGGAGAGGGCGGAGGTTCTTGGAAGGACAAAAGAGCTGCGTCCCAAACGAAGGGGCTTCGCCTTCGAGGAGGAGGAGGAGGAGGAGGAGGAGGAGGAGGAGGAGGAGGAGGAGGGAGGAGGAGGAGGAGGAGAAGGGAGGAGGAGGAGAGGGAGGCGGAACATTAGGAGGATGATGATGATGAGAGGAGGAGGAGAGGAGAGGAGGAGGAGGAGGATGGCGGCGGATGGCGGCGGATTGCGGCGGTAGTGAGGTCGGGGTCGGCTCCGCCAGGGCAGGCCGGCGGAAGGCCGGCGGCAGTAAGGCCCAAGAGATGGCAACATTTTTTTTGTTCGGTGCAGGTTTCGGGTGTGGGCACGAGTGCAAGCGGTATGGGCATCTACGCGCTTCCAGACGTCCGCGCGGACTTCTCGGGTCGGCGCTGGGCCCCCCTCCTCCTTGCCCTTTTCGCCTTCTCGGTTTTCTGAGGGCCGCGGCCCTTCCCGCCCTTCCCGCCCTTCCTTCTGAGAGCGTGCTCCGCCGGGATGATGGGGGTGGTTCGTTCCTCCTTCTGGCCCCTCCTCCTCCTCCTCCTCCTCCTCCTCCTCCTCCACCACCTCCTCCTTCTCCTCCTCCACCCCTGCTCCTCCTCTGCCTGCTCCTCGTCCCGCTCCTCCTACCTTTCCTCTCTACGTTGAACAAACGTTGGCTTCCTTGAGCCGTTGCGTCTTGGCGGCAACGATCTGAGAAAAAGGTGTTCGGAGCGCAGTGGTCGATAAGATCAAGGGACGGCCCTGGTACTGCAGCAGCGCGCGTCGGCGAGTCCCTGCCCCTCCTCCCCTGCCTTCCTCCTCCCTGCCCCTCCCCGGCACCCCGCGCGCCAGGGGAGGGGGCGCGCCGATCGAAGGGGGGGGATGCCAGGGAGTGGGGTCCAGCACCAGCCTCAGAATTCCGCGCGAGCCTTGGAAGCGTTTGTGATGGTGCCGTGCCCAGGCCTCCGACGACTCCACCGATCTCCGACGATACAGCTTTCTCAATCGCTGCCGTCTTTGTCGATCTCGGACCTGGGCGCTGTTTTTCGGGTCCCCGGGCCATCACAACTGGTTTCAGGGCGAACGTTTGCGCCTGGGGGAGTGGTCGAGACCGCAAGGGCCGCAGATGGAAATGATCACCTCGTCTGACGTCGGGGGACCTCCGGCGACTCGTTTTCTTTCGAGCCGCCGCCCCTGTAGATCTCGACCCCTCCCCCCGGACCGGTTTTTTTGTATCATTCTTTTTTGCACCGCTCCTGGGGCCCAGGCAACGGCCCCCGGGCGCCGAGGAAGCCCAAACAGATCCGGCGCGACGTTCTCCAGCCATCGTTCATCTTCTCGTTTCTCGTGTGCGGAGGCGCATTTCGCCCTGGCGGCGCGGCCGGACGCGGCGAAGCTGCGCGGGGATCTCGGCCTGGACGAGGCCGAGTCGCCCTCGGGTGGCCGGGCCGCTGGGGAGCTCGAGGAGAAGTGCCGCGAGCTTGCGGAGCAGCTGGAGGAGGCGCGCTCGCAGGCGGCCGCGCACCTGGGCGAGCTCGAGCAGGCCGGGAGCGACGGGCACACGTCCATGTCCGTGCCCTCGCGGTCTGGGCACATCGAGGCGCGATCCCATGGATGCGCGATCCCCTGGATACGTTCCGCCCAGGGCATGGGCACAGAGCCGCCCTCTGTTTTCTGGGGTGTCGCGGCCGAGGAGGCCAGACCGCGAGGCCGTGCAGTGTGGACGTGTCCCCCGCCCACTCGCAGGTGCGCGCCGGCGAGCTGAAGGCGAACCAGAAGCTGCAGAGCATCCAGCAGGTGACCCGCAGAGGGGCACCTGCCAGCACACCGCCGTGCCCTGCCCGGGCCCGACGGAGGCCCAGTGGCTGTGCGCACCGCGGGCGTGAGTGCCTTCATCTCCAGCCTTGCTTTTTCTGGTGATGTGGGCCCCCCAGGGGTCCTGGGCCTCCTCCCAGGCTTGGACGGTCCCAGGGCCAGGAAGACAGGCTCCATGAGCCCGAAGACAGGACAGCCGGTAGCCACGGCCTTGCGGCGACGCCTGGAGTCCGAGGGTAGCCAATGCATGCGTGCCAGGGCCCAGGGCACGGCCCTGGCCGGGCGCGGTCGTGGGTGCCCTCTGCGCAGGTGAGCCGCTCGCAGAGTGCCCTCATGCGCGCCGCGCCCAGCCCGCTCCGTCCTGGGGGCGCGGTCGGTGGTCGGGGCGGCAAGAGGCGTCCGGTCGCTGGCGCCCGCTCCGAGGGGTCCCGGCCGGCGGCCGCGGGCAGAGGGAGGGTTGGGCGTCACGTCATGGGGGTGTGGGGGATGGGGGGGGAGAAGACACTCATGACTTACCAAGCCACACCCACCCAACCCGAAGGTCCCAGACCCCCCCCAAGTTTCGGGTTGGGGTTTGTACGGGCTCCACTGTGTCTTCTCAACGTTCCAGGATGCAGCCCCGCTGGAACTTGGCAGGCCCAGCGGCGACTTCGGGTTGGGTTGAGGTGGCTTGTGCAACTTTCGTGCCCCTTTTGGGCCCCAGGGGGGCCCCTTCAGGGCCCCTCAGGTGCGTCAGAAGTGCACCTTCCTCGACCCCCCCAAATTTGTCTCCCCCCCATGACGCAACGCCCGAGAGGGGGGGGAGGCGACGATTTGATTTTTCCCAACCCTCACGGGCAGCTCATCATGCCATTTTGTTTTGTTCCGCGCGTGTCTCTGCCATGCCCGTGCGGATTGCCTCTGCCGTGACGCGACGAAAAACGTCTCCCAGGCCGAGGTTTGCTGCATGAGTTTACCTATTCCAGGTCGGCTTGCGCGGTGTTGTGGGTTTGTCTGGCGACTCTCTGGTTCGCACAGTGGCTTTACACTCGCCGAGATATCGAACCCTGGTGGCCGCGCTTCCTCCCCCTCCCTCTTCCTCCCTTCTTCTCGTCGTCGTCGTCGTCCTCCTCCTCCTCCTCCTCCTCCTCGTCATCAGCTTCCTCCTTCTACTCCTCCTGCTTCTCCTCCTTCTTCTCCTGAGCTTCCTCCTCCTACACCTCCTGCTCTGCCTGCTCCTCCTCGTCCTCGTCCTCGTCGTCGTCGTCGTCCTCCTCCTCCTCCTCCTCCTCCTCCTCCTCCCCAAATGCCAAAACATGCTTTGCCCCCGACCCTCCCGTGTACGGTTCTCGTCTTGAACGGATCACTGCTCGCGCGTCTCCTTCCCCCCTTCCCTCCTTCCTCCCGTCTCCTCCCCCTTCCTGCCTCCTCCTTCTCCTCCCCCGTGCCTCCCTACTAGTGGCGAGCTGCGCAACTGTCGCCACTTTCGTGGGCTTCTGGGAGGTCCAGCGGAGGCAGACCTCGCGGCTCTCTGGGAGGCTGCGACTTTTGCGCAGCTGTCGCCCTTTTCGGGGGCTCCTGGGAGATCCAGCGGAGCAGACAGTCCTCGCAAAGTGTTCTTTTGCTTGCAGCGTCCATATACATCGTCGCCTCGCGTTGAGAAGGCGTTGGGCAATTCTCGGGTGGGTTTCAACCGCGCAGCTTTTCAAGGGACCCAGGGCGAAGAACTGCTCTAGGGGGCCTCTGGGGCCGCGTCTGGAAGAGCAGATCGGAGGATGCCTGGGGTCCTCGGGGGCGGCCACGGATGGGGGGCGGCGGCTGGATGGGGTGGGGTGGAAATCGTGGCGGGGCACTACTATCCCCCGGGCCATCATGGCCCCGGCTTCTCCCTTCGGCACGTCCCCCGGCCCCCCCCCTGCCCCCCCCCCCCTGCCCCCCCCCGTCGGCGGCGCTCACGCCTCGGGCCCTGCTCTGCGACCCTGGGTCACTGGGCAGAGGTGCTCGCCAGCGCCGTTCCAGGAACTCCGCGCGGGCCCCCGACAGCCGAGGACCCCGCGGGGGGCTGCTCTTGCGTGCGCTGCTGCTCCCCGCCGCCTGCCTTTGCCTTCCTCCGTGCCGCTCGGCCTCTGCGCTCCCCCCGCCCGGCCGACGCGCCGTGCGACGCGGCCCTCCGACGCGCCGCCGCGCGACGCCTGGGCGGCGCCTGCCGCCTCCGAGGCCCGAGGCCGGAGGCCCCCCTGGCGGGCGGGCCCTCGCCGAGGGGGCGCCCCCTGCGGCTGCGCGCGAGCGGCCCCCTCGCGGGAGGGAGCGCCCCAGTGTCAGGAGGGAAAGAAACACACAGACACAATTAATCGGCGATTCCCCAGAAAATATAGGAAAATATGGGAAGTGGTGGGGAAGACAAAAACTTAGAAAATATGGGAAAATATGGGGAATCTTTTTATTTGTGTGTATTTATGTGTGTGTGTGTGTGTCCAAGGGGCCCCCAGCGGTGCGCGGCCTCCCGGGGGGCGCGCGGGCGTGGCCAGGCCCAGACGCGCGGGCCGCGGCCGCCGCATCGCAGGCAACGGTCGGCAGGCTGAGCGCCCCGAAGATGCAATCGGGCATTGTCCCTCCGCAGGAGGAGTTTCCAAAAAGAATCGAGCAGTAATCTGGGGGCGGTCTGTCGACCATCTTTGCAGCTTTCTTCCAGCATGTGGGGGGTAGCCTGAATCTTTCGTCCGAGGTCCGCCTGCAGGGGGACACGCCCGGCCTGACCCGTTGATCACTCTTGCCCCCCCCATGGTGCTGTTCGGGCCATAGCTTGGGCCTGCGGCGGCCGCTCGGGGCCACTCGCCCCCCCCCCCCGAACGCTTGTGGGCGAGGCGCAGCTGCTGGAAAGCATCCCGAGGGGAAGAGGACCTCAGCGAGCCTTGGAGCCGGCGGGGGGGCCCGCTGTGGGGCATCGGTGGTTCCCGTCGCCAGGGAGGGAGAGCGGCACCAATGTGCACGGGCTTTGTTCCCTGTGCCCTCTCGGCCGTCCTCTCCGGACGGGCACTGGATGCCGCGTCTGATCCCTTGCCCCTCCTGACTGCGTTTGCTGGTGCCCATCCATGGCAGACCTCCCGGCCGCCCCCCCAAAAAGAGCCACCGGAAACTTCCGACACTGGCCGAAGAGAACCCGACCCAGGCGCCGAGCTCACCAAGTGCCGGCGGCGGCTCGCGCACATGCAGCAGGTGGCGGTGAGGCTGCGGCAGCAGTGCGAGTGGCTGCAGAGTCGTGCGTCCGCCGCGCTGCCCCCCGAGCTCCAGAGCCTGCCTTCCGAGGAACGACGACTACGCGGGAGGAACGGAGAGGAGGAGGAGGAGGGAGAGATAGAGGGAGAGAGAACAAAGTAATGATAATATGTATATATATACACATATATATATATATATATGTATATATATATATATATATACACACATACATATAACTGCGCACCGGGTCCGGGGGCGCGGGGCCGCAGCCTCGACCACAAATGGGGGGACGTCGGCTCTTGGGGCGTCCCTGAGGCCCTCAAAACGCCCCAGGAACGCGCCAAGAGAACCCGAAGACGCCCCCAGACGGACCCATGACACCCAAAGGCCGCTCCAAGATGCCCAAGGTGGCCCCCAAGACACCTCCAGAGGCCTCGCAGACGCTCTAAGAAGCCCCCGAGAGGCCCCCCCAGGACGTCCCCAAGAGGCAAAAATAGCCCCATTCCCTTCGCAAAACGTACATTTTTAGCATATTCATTGTTTTCGCTGTCGTACCGTTCTTGACGACATCAGAGGTCCCCAAGACCGCCCCAAGACGGCTCAAGAGGCGCCCCCGAGGGCCCCAAGACGGCCCAAAAGAGCCCCAGGACGGCCCAAGAGGCGCCCAAGACGGCCCAAACGGGCCCCCAAAGGCGCCCAAGAGAAGCCCAATATTGGGAAATCCAACCGACAATTCGAGCTTTCCGCCACAAGAGGCGCCCAGGAGGCCCCTAGAGGCCCCGAAGAAGCCCCAAGAGGCCTCCAAGAGGCCACCCAGGCGCCGCAAGAAGGCCCCACGAGGACCCCCGAGAGAGCCCTGAGAGCCAAAAACTGTTTGTTTTCCGTAGATGTTCGAAGGATTTTAGTCATCTCGCCTTCTCGGGTTCCCGACGCGCGAAAACAGCCCAAGAGGCCCCCAAGATCGACCCAAGGAAGCCCGGTCCAGGGGTCTCTAGCGACGCACGGTGCGTTTTAAACTGCCCCGGAGGCCCCCAAGACGCCCCAAGAGGTCTTTAAGATGCCGCCCAAGAGCGCCCCGAGAGGGCAAAATCGTTGATTCCTATTTGTTTTTGTTAACGTTGTTTGTTTTCTCGCTGTTTCGTGTTTCCGGCGCTAAAGCACTTCCCAAGAGGCTCCCCAAACCGCTCCAAGACGGCCAAGACGGCGCACCAGGCGCCCTCAAGTCGGGCCTCCACGCAGCCAATACGGCCAATGACGGCTTCAGATTGCAGAACATCACCTTCCGACTGCCCAGAGAACCCCGACGATGCTCACAACGGGCCCCAAGAAGCCCCAAGTTGCCCCCCCAAGAAGCACCCAAGAGGTGCCTCCAACAGCAAGTTGAGGAAGCACGGAGAACCCCCCAGAAGCCCTTAAGATGCCCCCCGAAGACCCAAGAGGCCCTCATGAGGCACGACTGTGTAACGCGCCTGTGCTTGATAGCGCTGTCCAAGATCTTCCAGCGCCCCCCCGGCCTGGACTAGAACTTGAGCGCGCGCGAAGCGCGCGCGATGGTTCTAGCACATATATATACATAGAGAGAGCGGAAGCACGAGTGCTCTATACATAGAGAGAGAGAGAGAGAGAGAGAGAGAGAGAGAAAGAGAAAGAGAGAGAGAGAGAGAGACAGAGAGAGAGAACAAACAAAAAACGAGAGAGAGAGAGAGGGAGGGACAGCGAGAACAAGAGAGAGAGAGGGAGGGAGGGAGAGGGAGGGAGAGCGAGAGAGAGAGGGAGAGAGAAAGAGAGAGAGAGAACGGGAGAGAGAGAGAGAGGGATAGACAACTACAAGGCCCCCGTTCGCTGCCGCAGGGCCGCTCGGCTCCGGCCCGTCCCGCCCCGCCTTGAGGAGGAGGCCGCGGAGGAGAGCGCGGAGCTGGCGCAGCTGCACGCGCGCTGGGAGAAGGACGGGGTCCCACCGCTGCGCGCCCGAGAGGCATGGCCCACGCCGTTCTCCTGCCACCCCCCCCTCCCTCCTCCTCCCTTGTCTCCTCCTCCTGCTCCTTCTCCTCCTCCTCCTCCTCCTCCTCCTCCTCCCTCCTTCCTCCTTCCTCCTTCCTCCTTCCTCCTTCCTCCTCCTCCTCCTCCTCCTCCCTCCTCCTCCTCCTCCTCCTCCTCCTCCCTCCTCCTCCTCCTTCCTCCTCCTCCTCCCTCCTTCCTTCCTCTCCTCGCCTCCTCCTCCTCCTCCTCCTCCTCCTCCTCCCCTCCTCCTCCTCCTCCCCCCTCCTCCTCCTCCTCCTCCTCCCCTTCTCCTCCTCCTCCCTCCGCTCCTCCTCCTCTCCACCTCACCTCCTTCTCCTTCTCTTCATCCTTCTCCTTCTCCTTCTCCGTCTCCTTCGCCTTCTCCTTCTCCTTCTCTTCTCCTTCTCCTTCTCCTTCTCCTTCTCCTTCTCCGTCTCCTTCTCCTTCCTCCTTCTACTCCTCCTCCTCTCCTCCTCCTCCTCCTCCTCGTCCTTCGCCTGCTCCTCCTGCCTCCTCCTCCTCCTCCTCCTCCTCCTCCTCCTACCCCCTCCCTCCTTCCCCTCCTCCGCCTCCTCCTCGCTCCTCCTCCTCCTTCTCCTCCTCTCCTCCTCTCCTCCTCCTCCTCCTCCCTTCCCTCCCTCCCTCCCTCCCTCCCTTCCCTCCCTCCTCTCCCCTCCCTCCCTCCCTCCTCCTCATCTCCTCCTCCTCATCCTCCTCCTCCTCCTCCTCCTCCCTCCTTCTCCTCCTCCTCCTCCTTCTCCCTGCTCCTTCTTCTCCTCCTCCCCCTCCTCCTCCCCTCCTGCTCCTTCTTCTCCTCCTCTCCTCCTCCTCCCCCTCTCCTAATCGTCCTCCTCCTCTCTCTGCTCTCTCCTCCTCCCCTCCCCCTCCTCCTCTCCCTCCTCCTCCTCCTCCTCCTCCTCCTCCTCCTCCTCCTCCTCCCGCCTTTCTCCTCCTCCTCCTTCCTCCTCCTCCTCCTTCCTCCTCCTCCTCCTCCTCCTCCTCCTCCTCCTCCTCCTCCTCCTCCTCCTCCTCCTCCCCCTCGGCGGCGCGCGCGGAGGGGCGGCGGTCTTCGAAGGCGGCCACCGGCTCTCTGGGCCGCCCCCACGCCCCTCTGAGAGGGCCCCTCCGGAAGCTCCCGAGCCCCCCTCCAGAGAGGCCCCCGCGCCCTCTCGGGGGGGGGGGGGTCGGGGAAGGAGGACACCACGGTGATGCTTCAGCCCCGCCCCCCTCTGAGAGGGCCCCTCTGGAAGCTCCCGAGCCCCCCTCCAGAGAGGCCCCCGCGCCCTCTCGGGGGGGGGGGGCCCACCCCCCTCTGAGAGGGCCCCTCTGGAAGCTCCCGAGCCCCCCTCAGAGAGGCCCCGTGCCTCTCGGGGGGGGGGGGGGGGTCGGGGGAGGAGGACACCACGGTGATGCTTCCGCCGATGTCGGTGATGCTGATGTAGCCGATGGCAGGTATGATGACGTTGGCGATTGCGTAGGGCTGCGCCTTACTTTTGACACCGTGCCTCGGCATACTAGGCCGCATTGCACCAGGCATAACGATGGCGATGGTGACGATTGTGGAGATGATGATGATGATGATGATGATGATGATGATGATGATGATGATGATGATGATGATGATGATGATGATGATGATGATGATGATGATGATGATGGTGATGATGATGATGATGATGACGATGATGATGATGATGATGACGATGACGATGACGATGATGATGATGATGATGATGCTGATGCTGATTGATGATGATGATGATGAATGACGATGATTATGAATGAACGATGATGATGATGATGATGATGATGCTGCTGCTGCTGATGATGATGATGATGATGATGATGAGAATAATGATGATGATGATGATGATGATGATGATGATGATGATGATGATGATGATGATGATGATGATGATGATGATGATGATGATGATGATGATGACTCTCGTGGAGCAAGGTGCAGTGCCACTAGAAGCTGCTTCACGAATGGCGGCGCAGTCTGAAGTGGTGGTGCCAGTACGACGCACAATGCGCAAGCATGTCTTTGGATCGAGTCATGGAGAGTTTCGTGGGGTCTGTCCTCCCGATCCCGTCGGAAGGGGTTTGTCCTCGCTGCCCTCCTCTGTTCTGTTTCTACTCTCCTCTTTATTCCTCCCTCGTTCCGCCTCCCTCGCTCCTCCCTCTCCCTCCCTCCGTGATCCTCCCCTCCTTCTGTGCGCCTCCCCTTTTTCCCTTTCCTCCTTCTCCCTCCTCCGCCCTCCCTTCTCCTTCCTCCCCCCCGGCACCTCCCATCCGAGTCGATCCGATCCGATCGTGAAGTGGCCCCAGGACATCTCGACCCGACCCACGGGGCCGCTCTCCCGCCCCGAGTCCACCTGCTCGCGGGTCCGCGAGCCCGAAGCGGGCCTCCGGTGGCCCACGCGGAGGAACACCAGCTGCTGTCGTCTGGATCCGCCCCCAAACAAAAGGCGACTGTCGACCCCCCCCCCCCCACGGGCTGCTTTCTGGCCTGGGTGTCGTGGTGGATCCAGCGGTGGCCACGGGGGCGCCCTGGAAGAGGTGCGGAGGCCTCCCTTCCTCCCGCCTCCTCCTGGCTCCGTCCTCCCTCCTCAGAGTCGCCTCTCCTGGAGCGCGTTCTGGGCAGAGTCTCGAGGCGGATCCGGCTGTGGCCACGAGGGCTCCGCGGAATTCCCCCACCAGGCCCACAATCATACTCGATCCTGGATTCGATTCTCCTCTCTACTCTTTCTCCTCCCTTCTCCCTCCCTCCTCTCTATCTGCCTTCTCATCCCTCCCTCCTCCTCTTCCTCCCTCTTGATCCTTCCCCTCGAAAGGTGGCGCTCGGAGTTCTCCTGGTGTGCTTTCTCAAAAGACGAGGATAATTCCAGAGGCCCCAAGTGAGCAGCACATTGTACAAACGTCGATCCTCGAAGTTTAGTTCCTCTCCTGCTCTGGCGGCTGCTCTATTCCACGGAGACTCGACGTATCATTTTTCAAGTCGGGGTCCCTGGAAGGAAGTCGCAACCCTTTCCCCGGGGCCGGCTTGCACCCACAGCCAGATTTTGACAGCCCCGGGGCCTGGAGAGGGCCTCCGGAGATCATAATCTGCAAACGACCTAACTGTTTCAAACCGTCGGCAGTCTGACAGGATAGATGGGGGCCTCTGGCGGCCACTCGGGACGATTCGGGCACCCCCAGCACGCGCTCGGCGAGACGCCGCTGCTGGCAAGCACCCCCGAGGCCAGAAAGCCTCTTGGATCCGACGGAGACGTCCGCAGACCTCCTTCCCCCCTCTCCTCCCCTGGCGGCGCCTGGCGAGGACGTGGTGCAGCTCCAGGAGGCGCTTGCTGCTGGTCCGCCGTGCAGGCAGCCCTCGGCCAGCCCGTCCCCTGCCGCATCGCCCTCGTCGACCTCGTCGCCGAGGCGGGCGTCCGGGAACGACGACGACGACGACGCTGACGACGGCAAACGAGCCGGGGAGCTGGCGAGCGCACCCCCAGTTTCACCCCCGCAGGACTGACAAAGTATGGCAGGGCCCCAACGGTAGAGCGCGCCCCCCTCCGAGTCGGACGATGGGCCATGGAGCTGGGGAGCGCAACCCCGGCGCACCCCCTCAGGAGTGGGCCGAGCGGGAAAGCGTCCCCCTGAGTCGGAGGGATGGGCCATGGAGCTGGGGACCGCATCCCCTGCGCACCCCGCAGGAGTGGGAAGGAAAGTGTAGCAGCGACCCAGCGGGAGAGCGTTGAGCTGGGTCCGTTCGGTTCGGTCGGCCGCTGTGTCGTCGCCGCATCGCCGCGTGCTTCTAGGCTGCTTGCGGCCTTTCTGTTTTGGTTTCTGTTTCGCTGTCGGTTTGGTCGGTGTTGGGTTGTGCTGTCGCCGTGGACGGCCTGGACAGCCCTTACGGTCGGACCGTTGTATAAGATCGAGGTCGGTTCGGGGAGGGTATCCTACTGTTCTTCGTGCTTGTTGGATGTTCTTGTGCATCCTGGGTACCTTCGAAGGTTCTTCAGTTCGGCCGACGGATGGTCTCATGTTCTGAATGTCCTGGGTCCGCCCCTGCCCTGGCCCTGCCTCGGTCTCGGTGCAGCGGGCGCAGGAGGCGGCAGGGCAGCGTCGCGCGTCGGGAGGCTTCCCTCGAAGCCTGCTGCGGAGAAGGTGGGTGGCGGATGAGGATGAGCATCAGGATGAGGACGAGGAGGATGGTGATGGTGGCGATGGCGATGATGATGGCGATGGTGATGGTGATTGTTATGGTGATGGTAATGGTAGTGAGGATGGTGATGGTGGTGGTGGTGGTGGTGTTGATGGTGCTGGTAATGGTGATGGTGATGGTGGTGGTGGTGGTGGTAGTGGTGATGCTGTGGATGCTGATGATCATGCTTATTATGATGCTGCTGCTGATAATGATGCTCACGATGATGCTGATGATGCTGATGGTGATGATGATGATGATGATGATGATGATGATCATCATCATCATCATCATCATCATCATCATGAGGATGAGCAGGAGGAGGAGGAAGAGAAGGAGAAGGAGGAGGAGGATAATGAGGGAGTAGCAGGAGGAGGAGGAGGAGGAGGAGGAAAAGACGGAGGAGGAGGAGGAACAAGATGAGGAGGAGAAGAAGGAGGAGGAGGATGGGGAGGAAAACCAGGAGCGGGAGGATGACAGGAGGAGGTGAATGTGGAGGGGTGGGGGAGGGGATGCTGATGCTGATGATGATGAGGATGATGAAGATTCTGCTGGTGATGATGAGGATGACGATGCTAACGAGGGTGGTGATGATTATGAGGATGTTGTCGTTTTGCTGCTTCTCTTGTTGGACAGTGTGGTAACTACGATGATGCCCATGATGTTTGTGATGGTGATGGTGATGGTGATGGTGATGACTGATGACGATGTTCATGACGACGATACTGATGATGCTCATGATGATGCTGACGCTGATGCTCCTGTTGCTGTTGCTGCTGATGATTATGCAGATGATGCTGGTGCTGCTGATGATGATGATGGCGATGCTGCTGATGCCGATGTTGATGCTAATGCTGATGCTGTTGCTTCTGCAGATTCTGCTGCTGCTGCTGCTGCTGATGCTGATGCTGCTGAGGCTGAGGGTGATAATGCTGGTGATGATGCTGCTGACTACGCTGCTGCTGCTGATGATGATGCTGATGACGCTGCTTATGAAGATGCTGCTGATGCTGATGATGATGCTGCTGGTGATGCTGATGCTGCTGCTGATGATGCTGTCGCAGATGATGCTGATTATGATGGTGCTGAGTATGATGCTGATGACCATTCTGCTGCTGATGATGATAGCGATACTGCTGCTGCTGCTGCTGCTGATGCTGAGGCTGATGCAGCTGATGGTGATGATGACGATGATGATGCTGATGCTGATGCTGTTGCTGATGATGATGATGCTGCTGATGATACTGATGATGAGGGTGCTGCTGATGATGATGATGATGATGATGCTGATGCTGATGCTGACGATGATGACGATGCTGATGCTGATGATGGTGTTGCTGTTGATGATGCGGGTGATGCCGTTGATGATGCTGCTGCTGATGATGATGGTGATGATGATGACGCGAATGATGATGATGATGATGATGCTGATGATGATGATGATGATGATGATGATGATGATGATGATGATGATGATGATGATGATGCTGCTGATGATGCTGATGATGATGATGATGCTGCTGCTGCTGCTGATGATGATGATGA